AAGCGGTCTACCGGTGCAAGACTCGGGCAAAAACTAATCCAGTTTACCGGACACACCCCAACGGCTACTTCCCCCTGCAGCCTCTTCCTTTTGCCGACGCCGGCGATTTTCCATCTCGTCAACGAAAGAGTCCGATTTTTCGATTCATCGCGAAGGGAAGCCGATCCCGGCGGCGATAAGAAGAAAATGAGCGCGGCTCCGCTTGATGATCGTCGAGTTAGTGCGACCTAACGTGTTTTCTGGACACGATGGAACCAAGGATGGCCTTGGGCCAGCAAACCAACGATGATTTTAGCACGTCGCATGTAATGTGTTCTTTTGTAGCAAAGATAAGATATGTATATGACTTTTAAGCGCTATTGATAACGCCAAAGTTGATAACGCAAAAAGTTTTAAAATACGCATAGATACATTTAATTTAGAATATTTTATCATGTAATTATTACATGTATTAAAATATTTTATCATCGAATCACAAGCTATTCATTTTACTGACAGACCGAATAAATTTTGATTACATATTATATCTTTAAAGCAAGAATTTAACGCGATGATAAAATGCGGTAATCAGATGTATAAGAAAATGTGCACGTAGATTTTTAAGACTCACGCGGAACAAAAATCGAACTCGAATGACCACTGCCAGCGGCCAGATGACTACTGCCGACGATCGGCAGGTACTTATTAATTGTCGCATAAATTGCGAATCCGGTGCAGAGAGGCCTGTTCTGCCGCGGCGGCGTTTGCGAAATCCGATTATCGTTGCAATGTTTCAGTAATTGAACGTGCGGCGAGGCAGCGCGCGACTTAAACGGAAGACCATCGTTATTCGATCTAAGTCACGAGCAGAAAATTAGATAGCGGCACGCCTTGCCGCTTTGCCGCGCTCGCAGTAGAACCGGTCAGTTATCGAACAGGCGTGACGAGAACGCGCGAGAAGCACTTTTGCTTCTCTTTCACTAACATACGCGCTTAAATATACAAAAGAATTACGGCGCGTAATGGAAACGAGGAGAGAAAATTGTGATGATTGATGACGCATTGTTCGCGGATGCCTCGAAACGAGAGAATCATATATGCAACTTATTCTGTCACGATATATATATACAGAATGTTTCAGACCGCCCATCCCTTTTATTTTGAAAATTGATGGTGCTAGGAAGTTGGGACAAACATGTTTATCATAAAAGCCTATCTGAAATTTCTGATGATGGTAATTTCATTTTTGAGAAACCCTCTGAAATATATGATGTATGATATAATGTAAATATTTTACATTATATCATACATTGCTGTATCTGTTTCAAACAACGCTACAACTTTTATCATATTGAAATATCTACATTATTATAAAAAAATTATGCATACCTCTTCGTTCGTTAACACAGATAGCTTTTGGAAGCAATCACTATGTTCACAATAGAATTCAGTTTGAACCATTTAATTTGATATATATTTGTTATGATGTATCTCTTTTAGTCTAAAAGATAAAAAGAGGTGGCCACTTTTGGTGGGACATCCTGTATATACAGGGTGTCCCGCAACGTGATGTCCACACTGAAACTATGTATTCTTTGTGTCATTCGGTATAATCGGTAATCGTCTAATAGGGCCCATCATTATTGAAGATCATTTAAATGCTGAACGATACTTGCATTTATTACAAGAACAGTTGCCCGAACTTCTTGAAGATCTGCCTTTAAACATCAGAACACAAATGTGGTTTCAACAAGATGGAGCAGCACTTCACTTTAGCAGAATTGTTACGAGATATCTAAATGAAAAGTTTCCTGCGCGCTGGATTGGCCGGGGAGGTCCAATAAATTGGCCTGCGAGATCTCCTGATCTATCTCCTCTGGATTATTTTTTGTGGGGGCACATGAAATCTCTAGTCTATGCGGATAAGCCAGTCAATCGGCAGCAGTTATTAAATAAAATAACAGACGCTTGTAATAATATACGTAACGACGCGGAACTTCTTTTGCGTTCTACAATATCAATAATTCAAAGAGCAGAAGTGTGTGTAGAAAACTTAATTACGGCGATATCTTTTGCGAGATTGTAGCAGAATTAGTTCGCGAACGTTAATTAGGCGTTTATCTAGTGCTTCGCCGTATTATAAATGAACCACGCGTCCGTGGTTCATTAAATGATGAGACTGGTGCGTAAGAGTTTTGAGACCTTCGAGAAGGAAAGGGTACACGATGGATTGTACGTTCATTAGGCTAGCCAGTCTGTTATCGTTGTATTATATTTTATTCCACTCACAAGGAATTATGGGTAACAGCCAACAATTAACTTAATGAGAATTATCATGGAAGAAAAACGTCGCCATAACTGTTTCATGAATCAAATCTTGTTTTTGCTTTCTTCTACTAATTAAAAAGATATTGGAATATTGTGTTATGTAGCGACATTATTGATGCTCTTGACGAACTTGAATCTTTTTCAACACAACAAATTTACGTTACATTGCCCATACACATGGTTGTCGATGCAACCTTACGTAGATTCGCATGTGTATATCCTGTATCGCGAACGGTCAATACACGAGCAGAAGAAGAAGAAACGCATGCACGAGAGGACCGGATAGTCGGCAATCTTCATTGAAGATCGGCTGGCAAGTGGTCGCACGGCCATCATCGTCAGGAGAGAGAGGAAGCAAGAAGAAAAGAACGCAGAAGTCGATCGGAAAGAGGCACTGGGGCGGATTCGAAGAAAAGATCATGAAATCCAAAGAGTTACGAGAATCCGATCAACGAAGTTTAGATATTTTCATGTGTGAATACATTCTTTTCTTGAAAGAAATAAAGTAATATATAAGAAAAATAACATACCTTTAGAAAAGAAATTGATATATTTTAGTTTTTTATATAGAGGGGTACAATAAAGATGTAATAAAGATTGTTTTAAGAGGATGAGATGTGTTTAATTTCGACAACCTTGAGATTTTCACCTGCGATATTATCTGGATAGGCCGCTATATTGCTGCTTAAACATCCAAAACAAAAACACGGTCGGGTCGTCCGATTCATCTTTAGAAGACGCGCCTTGACGCAGTTCGCACACGCGTGTTTTTTTTTCTCAACCGTAGAATTCTTTTATTCCCATCTAGACGTCTATAATTGGCGCCGACTTCTTTTAGTGCCGACTCTATTCCATATACGTATTATATGTCATCATCTCATCATAGGCTCTTCAAACATCTGCGTTCTGTCTGTTGTCGCGTTTATTTATGGATGTTGTGTTCTCTTTCCTCATGCCCTTTGAGAGTATTTTTTTTTTTTTCAATTTTGCGACACGTGCCGCCAAACCAGTTTCCTACTAGCATTCCAAGAAAACCGGGCCTTCTAATACGTCACACGTATTATTTACTACAAAAATGTGACGTATATTCTACGCGGTTTTGTACTGACTTCTTCTCCTTTTATCGCGCATATGTTTCGTCGTCTCCGCTGAGTCACGATTATTTTCAGCACTTTTTTACGATCCTAGAGGAAAACTTTCCTGCACCGTGCTCCACTTTGGCTCCGGACAAACGAGCAAAAATGCGATGTATTATAGCCTGCGCTGCAGGATTTCTGGTATTTCGAAACATATTTTTTTTTTTAATGTCAAGGAAATCTGAAATATTCCCGAGATGACGGCTCTTACAACAATGCAAATTACAAATTTTATTTAATAGCTTCTATTTAACAATAAGAGTTTTATTATTAATTATTACATAATGCAATTTTTAATATGATGAATGAAATAAATGATTAATAATAATATAACAATTAGCTAATAATATGACACAGTAGCTAATATGAAAGAAGTGAGATAAATAATTGCAATAATACATGCATTACATGGGGCATATTCTTACAATTCCATAAATTTCGAGGCTAAGGTCATAGAAACCCCGCTTTTACAAGCGCGTTATCGCCATATGACATTTACGATACTCAGATTCGCGCAAGCGATGCGGACACAAATGTCATTTCTGACTCCGTCAGGTCTTTAACTCCTGATCTCGTTTTTTTCAGTTCACCGCGCACGACGCATGACTCATGGTTCATGGTTAAGCGACGATATAATCTCGACTTTTTTCTCTCCTCCGTCTACTCTTTTTTCTCTCTTAAGCGTCGGACTTTTTTCTATTGAGTGAATATCGCGATTTTACGGTGCCGCGCTCGCGGCAATTAACCCTTTCACTGCTGAATTGTATGATGGATAAAGCAGCTTGCCTTAAAGAACAGTCTCGATGTTTGATCGCTCAATATCTCTATCATATTGCTACACGCACTGTTAGTTATGTGTAACATACAGCTGTTATATCAATGCATGTATATCATACTGATTGACTATACGCGCAAAGATTAAAAGCTCATTTATTATATAAAATATCTCATTATCTCATTAAAAATTTTAATAACGTAATCTTTGATGAGAATTACTAAGATATTTTCACGAAGTTTTAGCCAAAATTTTATTTGCAATTTACAATACAGAAATAATATTTTCAAAGAAGGAATTAATTCAGTTTCTCCCGAAATTGTACCTCTCTAAAAAAATACAAGATAGTGTAAATATTTTTTTCATATTTAAATAAATATAATATTTAACAATATAAATAATATACCTGCATTTATTTTTAAATACATACATGTTTATATATACAGGATGAATCACTAAAGGTGTTACAAGCTAATATTTCTGAAACTGAATGAAATATGATATTCTTATTTCCCGGCGATTGTTTGGTATCAAAGCGGGCATTTGACGCAAAAATGGAATTTCACACTGCAATTAACATGCGAAATTAATGATTTTAAAATAAGGATTTCATATGTCGTTCAGTTTTAGAAATATTAGCCTATAATACTTTCAGTGATTCATCCTGTATATATAATGTTATTAAAAACATATTAGCTACGTCAATTCTAAAAATATATTCATCCTTCTTTCGACTCGGGCATTATTCAAAAACTGAACTTTGTTTTTTTTTCTATGTGCAGCATCGTCGAAAAGATGAACACTTCAAGCAGCGCACTTTTAGTGCACTCGCCGATCGATGAAGATTCACGAATCACTTCGCGAGGAAAATCTGGCATCTCGATCTCAAAAAATTGGATACTGACGCATGGCACCGCATTGAGCCTGATTATCGACAAGTCTCATGCAATATCGAGTTTCATCACGAATATAGTACCGGGAGAACTTACGATCGTGCCAACAGAACTTGCAAACGAATTGAAATTTCGTGTCTATCGGGATCTAGAGATCGACGATGGTTCTCGATCGGGCGATTATTCACGCGTTCAGGAGCATCTAGGCAGCGTCGTGGCCGCTTGGAAATGTCCGCTACTAACGAAGACTTTCGACGAATTCTTCGAAATGTGGAACTTTCCTAATTCGTCGATCAAGTTCGATCGATTTCTACGATCGATCTACCTGCTCGTCTTCATCACCAATGCCGACAAAAAATCAATCGTGGAAATTCCAACGGTCAAACAAGCTCTCTCTTGTCTGCTGTATCAAGCTCTGCGGAATCCCATTCGTGGATCGTCCGTGGAAATCGAGTCCACACCCTTCGGCAATCCCGTGTTCATCGGCTCGATCGCGCGCGGTGTCATCAGCAACGTCATCGGCGACGAGGGTTGCGTCATCATGACGGACGCGTACGCGTTTCCCGGTAGCGAGGGTGGTCCCGTCTACGTCATTCCGGACTGGTAATTACGACGATTCTTAAAACTCTTGGATTATTATTTAGAAACTCTCCTTACTCGAAAGGCATCCTTGAATCCTTCTACTGTCAAGAGACTTACGGAAAATAATTATTTTCACTCTATTTTAAACAAGTACATGTAAAATATCATGTAAATTTTCTTCGAGAAGTTTTAGGTTCAAAATTCTTTCTTAGCAAATTAATTGATGATCAAATCGATGATTTCTCTTATTTTATCGCGTTTGAAATTTTTTTGACGCGGATGTTTTTGTAGCAAACGTCGAATTATCAGCGGGTTGGTGATTGCGCCGTTGAGTTGGTGTCGCGGAGAATGGGTAGATTACACCTTTGCCGCCAATCTTGCCCCGTGTTTGCTCAACATTTTACGGAAGAAGGATCCTTGTTGTTCTCCGATTATAAGCCACCAGAAAGATGGTCCGTTAATATAAATATAATATAATATAATATAATATATTTTTTTGTATTACTTTTTATGTATCCACATGCGATGAAATCTTCATATTTTTTTTCTGACATATAGAAGCGTTAGATAGAGGTGTCGTGCTTGTTAGGTGTGGGATTAATTGGGGCACGGGCGTCCTCGTGGACAAGGATACTGGTACATTCCTGACGTGCTCACACGTCGTCGCCGAGGTAAAATCAAACTCTTGGAAACTTATACGAAAACATAACAGAAAAGTATATATTTCGATGGGTACAAAAAAACTGATCGCATTTTGTGTAATAAGCTCAGTATGTGGCAATGGTATTATCGCGCAATATAGCAAATGGATAACTTTTTATGTGCAATAAAATTATAGCTAAGTCAAAATAAATTCCGATAGGCGCCAGAAAGGGAGATATCAATTGTAATGAATACAGACCAGACCAATTCACGCACGTGGGCGAAACTGTTGTATAGAACTCCGGAGAATCAGCCTTATGACGTGGCTGTATTGAGGGTGAATCCACAGGATATGGATCCCTTATTGAAGTCGATACGTTTGTCTCGTGCTGCGATTGTAAAAGGTAAGTATTTTTTCAGTTTTTTTTTCAATCGCTTTTATCTTTAAAGATTCGACATATATTATTTATAATAATTTTGATCACTTCGCATTGTTATCTAGAACATTTAGAACAACAGGTTAAAGCATATTTTCATAGCTTTTCTCAACGAGAGGAAATTAGCGACATATCCAGCAGCGAGTCAAATGGTTTACTGGCGTCTCAACGCCAGGAACATTGACCTTCTTCTACATCAGTATAGAAATAACGTATAATTGCGAAAAAATTGGGTCAATTGACCGTCGTTAATGGTGAAATTGATATTTGGCCTCTTTCTTCCAACATGGAAACCGATATAAGTCATCCATTTACTCGATCGCAATAAAAGTCTATTTATTATACGTTACCATAAGAACTTTGCTTTTATTGATATGTTTATCACAAATCATACTGCAATATTTTCAAAAAAGTCTGTCTTACGAGTGAAAAAACAGAATTATATTATAATCTCTTAATTATTATCTCATTATTAAAGCAGCATCATTTACTAAAGTTATGAATCGTCCACTGATATAGTTTCTTCCGTTTCTACCAACATCATTTTTTTTCTGTTTAATAATCTTTGAACAGTGCATCTTTTTAATATGTAAAAAATTAACATGATTAGAATTTTAAACTCCTTAATGGATGAAAATAAAACATATTTGCAGAAAAAATACTATTTGTTGAAATAAATCATATTAATTGTATATGTACACACTTGCTCGCAGGCGAATCGGTGGTGTCCGTGGGATTTCCGTTCTCCTCGTCCGTCCGGCCGACCATCAGCAGCGGCGTGATATCCAAGTCGATGGACTGCGCGCTCCTGACAACTTGTTGCGCCCAGAGTGGTACCAGCGGCGGGCCAATAATCAGCCGCGCGACCGGCGAGATGCTGGGAATGATCGTGTGCAACGCGCTCTCATCGGACGGTGCTGTATTGTACCCGCGGATGAGCTTGGCGGTGCCGGCCGCCGTGATGGATCGGCCCCTACAGGAATATTTGCGCACTGATAGTCAGTAAACAAATCTAAATTGGCCACTGACGATGATCTAACGACTATATAATTTGGACGGTGCCTGGACTGTAAGCCTTCCGCGCCGCAGGGAACAAAAGACTCTACTACTATACAGCCATACCGAAGTGCAATCCGAGCAAATGTTAAGAATGTTTTGGCTGTACAATAGTAGCAAAAAACTGTCAAAATTAAAAAAAAAACATATTTCTTAATATTTTATATTGTTTGAAAAATTAAATAAATAAATCCTTATATAAAAAGAATTAAAGTATCACAAACTAATATGGTTTTTAACGTCTTCGTAAAAGAAAATAGTTGTAATTAATATTTTTTCTAATTTATGACAAAAACTTTTGATTGTGAATATTTCCTGAAATCAACTGCAAGAAATAAAAAAAGACCGAATAATTTGAAGAATCAATACTAATTTTAAACTTAAATAATTTCCAAACAGTTAAAAGAATTATGCTCAGGTTTTGCACAGATACTCAGAAGAAGTAGTAGAACAGTGTACGAAATTTTTATGCTTTTGTCAATGTTTTGACATATGATACATATATCCTTAAATCCTTTTCGCAAATAAAATCTATCATATCGTGGATAAGATATTGAACTATATACATATATTTTTCAAGATCAGCGATTATAAAATAAGAATTTGTTGAAACATTTATTGAGTTAAAATATTTTAATTGTTCTGTTCTTCGTTTTTTGTTTTTTTTTTAATTGTTCCATTGTAGAAACTAGATAGAGTTGAGAATCAATTTTTTGAATATTGAATTGAATGATTTATCTCTTGCCTCTATTTTTGTTTCAGATCCCGACGTGCTTCGAGCTTTCACGTGCGACGACGCGATAGTGCGCAATGTTTGGAATTTCTACCCTTTGCTGCCATCCAAATTGTGAAAAAAGCGATGCGCGAGATAAACTCTGTACATAAAACATATATTCAAATTCTAATCGCATGGTGGATTATTCATTATTTGATCCGCATTGTTTGAGCTATTTCTATTGCGGCTATCATATTGTGCGGATAATATATTGGATTATTTGCATTGGGGAATATTTATCTGTGAGTCACTGGGCCTGCCAATCTCGAACTCGACACGCTCTTGTGAACATAATCTTGCCTTCGAATCCTCATTGAATAACATACGCCATTGACCGAGTTTAAAATATAAAGAGAAAGTTTTTCGTGACGTTAAAGTCGTAGCGATTGGCACGCAAAGCGACATGAGTCAACGATCCCTTCGTATTTATGCTAAAGACTTCGCTGATGAATAATATTATGTACATATATCGTCGTGTACTGAATTTTCAAACGGTGTTTAAGTTGGTGTACTTTGTAAAGGTTGCATTTGCCTTGTCAAGAAATATGATTTCTTCTATGATTCAAAATATTATTTAGATATATAATATCATGATATGACTGATCTGCTATAATAAGATGCACACCATAATACATAATGTAAAGTGATTTGTAATAAATTACTATTTGTCGTATATGTGATTGTAATCCTTCCGAAAAAAATACCATAAAGTAATTCTCAGAGATGCACTTGCTTCGCCATCTGACAAATACTCGCACAACTAAAATTTCTTTGCAGCCTCTTTGGTTCACATTGGCTTTTCATATTTTACTAAACGTATGAGAATTTCTCTAAAAAATTTTAACTTTATATCTAATATAAGCGAGTCATGCTCAAAATATGATTAAGAATTAACATTTATCGACTGGCTTTAGCATTAAGAGTTTTGAGATAAATATGTATTAAGTATTAAGACATATTCAACACAAATCGTCATTTTTATTATTTCAAAAATTATTAACGAATTTAATTATGAGATTGATGTAAATATATAATATTTAACTAGAATAGCATAAATCATAAAATTTGTCAATTCGTACTAAGATAATGTATATTAGACATCATGCAGATTGAGAAGCTACATAAGATATTCGAGAAAATACGAAACATACAGTGAATTGTGATTTACATTTATTTTACCTTTCTTTCAATCAATTATAGCTATATGACGCGGTCACATAACTTTGCCTTATACATTGCACTCAATGCTTACAAAAAAATCACACACGGTCAGACGATCGCAGGTAACGTTCATAGAGTGCGGGGTGATTGATAGTCGGAGATGGTAAGAAGCAATTGCAATTGATAGAGACAGACTCCTTATATAACGCTGTTCCGTTCTGTATATACAAATTCGAATGACTTAAACGCTAGAAAATACGTAGTTACGTTATCACTTGTGATTTTTTTCTCGTTCTTAGTGTTTCTTCCTCTAAAATGCACGTAGGAAAACGGAGGAATCTACAACCTCATGAATCTACAATCGCATCTTTGGGCATTGTGTGATAAACATTGTTTTGTCAACTCTATAATGCTAATTTTGTGTATATTTTCTTTTATCTTCCCACATGCGCGAGATAAACGTTCGATTTAAAAAAAAGACGGATAACGCAGGAGCGAATGTTCTGCCAGTTGAATCGTCAGATTACGGAGATACGTAATATCGATAAATATATGTATGTGTATAATATGTATATATATTAATATATATAAATAGTATGATATCTTTTACATTAGAATACAGATCATATATATATACATCATGGATGGAGTCTTCCGTAATAGTTATTGGAGCGTCGAAGAGTTTTTCTTAAATCTAAAAAATTATCTCCGCACGACGTTTAATCTTAATGACTCCTATTGTCCTTATATAATCGATCTAATGATTTTCGATGCAAAAGTAAGAAAATAGCGTGTGTCCGGCTTGTTGCTTGCGCGTAGTTTCCCGCGCAAGGAGGATCACTTTAGAACGATACGACGACGTCCACTTTGATGAGGACGGAGAAACGATAAGCAAGATTCGAAAGTTAAATCTAAGTGTTTCGTTTTTGTCTTATTGGTATTCCACATGGCCGTCACACCAATTTTTGTAGTTTTTAATACAAAACAATAGAGACGATTGATTGCATTGCATATACAGGATATTGCAAAAGTCACATATTATTAACTATTGCATAACGATGACAATTTTAAAGAAATGTTGATATAAATTTTTATTTTCTATATATATATATATATATATATATAAATTACTGAACTCTCTTTATTTGGACAAAGTTATATTTAACGATAAAAAAAAAATACGACTAATGAGAATGTCTTTGTCGAGAGGCAGTATACGAATCCTAAAACCATCTATATATCTTCTACATGCTTTGAGATAAATGAACGTTTTGCTAAAAAAAAGTTCTATTTTTTAGATGCTATAAAAAATTCACTCGCGCGACGATCCCAAAGTCTCTTTCTAAGTACAAAAATAATATAAATTAATGCTATAACTTAATCATCCTTCGAAAAAGAACCTCAGACCCTAATAACAAAGCAAATTAAAACTATCTGGAGATTTCGAGTTTTTACGAGATTTCTTCCAGCACTTTGCGATCACAATTTGGCGCATCAGTGCCAACTATCACATGAAGACCGAAAGCATTCGTATTTATTACGGCCTTGAAAATTCTTTAAGAGCGACTAGAATCCTTCCTTCGACTCGCGACAATCGTAACGCTACTTCACTCTAATTCCGAACTTTTTTGTACGACACTCTCCTTCCGAAAAAAGTAGCGAATTCTTCGTATTTAGAGGGAATTTCACGAAGTTCTTAGTAAAATTGTAATTTAACCATTGAGATAATTGTTCGTGTGTATCCAGGTTTGTTCTGTAGTACACCGAACCGATATGTGCAACAGTTCATTGTTGATAACCATTTGTTGGATTCGGTGCTTCTTGACTGTCTATACTGTAACCGGTAATACTATCTGGGCTTTGAAGAGACGCCGCGTAGAGCGGGTTGATTGGCGTAGCGTTCGTGTCGAACTGGGTCGAGTCATAAACGCTGTGATTCTGCAAAGAAAGAAGAAAGAACATTCCGCTTTGCATTCCGAGGCAGGCTTCCAATCAATCAGTCAATCAATCAATTTATTAAAAAATTATCGTGAAGCTATCAACGTAACGCCAGTAAATTAATTCTGCGATAATTGAACATCAAAGCATTATGTAATAACAAAATATTGTGTTGCGCGTATATTATTGCATTATTGAAGCACGGTGCAAATAGTGCGTTACACACGAAATAGCGCTTGAAAATATTTACAAGACTTCATTTGTAAAGAAGCAGAGTGATATCGTTGCCAAAAGAAATTTCCCGAAGTTAGTGTAAATAAATGAAAACAAGTGCATTGACTATATCAATACATTTAATTTTATATATGAGGAATGTTTTTCTAAACATGCTAAGATATATTTACAGCTAAATAAAGCTTTCAAATGGTGTCTCACCATTTACGTTATAATGCGTATTATATAGGGATTAATAATTAATAAAATTATTAATAAAATCAATATGTAAAACTTGGAAGAGTTATCCACAATGTACAGGTATACTAAAACGTGATACTATAGCGATAAACTATTTACAAAAATTCAGTTTGTGTATCTGAATCTTGAGAGGGATCAGGATCTTGCTGCGTCTTGTTCTTTTTGTGTTTCTCGAATTTTGGAGATGTTATAGATAACAAATAATCACTTAAGCCGCCCGAATCTCCTCCCTTGGAGTCATTTTTGTTCTTTCTATAGGCAACGGTCGAACGAGAAGAATTCGATCTAGGAAGTAATTGCCCTGTAATGTTCGAAGTATCGGATATACCAGGTAACATATCGTTCGAGATTTTAAAGAGTTCAGTGTCTAAACGCGTCGTTAAATAGCTCGGATTTACAGTAGCAGCGCTCTCCTGGAGCGCTAAATCATCGCTTATCTTTAACTGAGATTTTTGGGAATCTTCCGTTCCAATTTCGTGCGTCCCACTTTCCAAAATGGACTGTAAGCTATTTTCTAGCGCTGGAACTTGAGGCATTTCCGAAAAGTTACTATGTTCATGCGGAATGTTCTCAACTATAGCCGCGTGATCTACGGTTGCGTCATCCAACACACCTTCTAAGCTACTTTTTCTCGTTTGAGAATACAGATTAATGTTACTGTCGATTGTTTTCGGTTTGTAGAGAAAGTTACTAGCAGTATCGGGTGAGAAGAGCAAATTCGAGACACTACTGGGACCGCCGTACTTAATATGCGTTACAGAAACGGCTTTCCGATTCGGGCTGGAGAATCTTAGATCCGGCACACTCTTTTGGGTGGCGGACAAGACATCGGATCTAATCAAAGGATAATCAGCCAAGTCCGAAATATCCTTTTCCGTACTGAGATCTCTATCGAAGCTTCTAATACCGGTTGTCGAGCGATACGATCTAATTGGTGAACCAAAGGTGCTCGAGTCGCTATTTTTCGGATCTTTAACTGATGTTAAGGAATAAAGAGAAGCTCCCTGCTTGGACAATTTCAATGCTTGAGAATCATACAGCGGTATGTGAATAGAAGGAGTATGGACCTGATAGATGTAATCGCTGTCAGTTTTCAAGGATGAAAAACTCTGTTGATGCGGTAACGACACCGTGTCTTCGTCCATTGCGTCGTCCACTTGCGCTTTATAAGAGAACATTATCGAAGGTTGTGAAACCCTGAAAACAGAATAATTTCCAAAATATATCATTCATACATAACGATCCAATTGTTCAAATTGCTAATATATTGCTACATGTTGTAGTAGCTTACCCAAAAAATTCCGATAGGAATGTATGATAAACCAAAGGAGTAAAAAGACTTAAATATACTGCTGCTGTGAAGTCTACAATGCATAACCCCACTGGATTTTGCGTGTAGTTTAGAAAGCCTGCGCCAATTGATTGCACTAGGTCCAATGTCGCTAGCGTTCCGGCATAAATGTAAAAGCTTTTCCGTGCTGCAATAGAAAGCATACATATATAACAGTCACAATCAAAGACGAAGTATTATATAATCTATGATAAGAACTGCTTACTAGGAAGTGCTAGGCGGTCCCGTAACCGTGTCCATGGCAGTATTAATATGAAAAGATATATCTAGAAACAATATCGACATATTTAGTGATATATATATCCATTTTCTGACAAAAAAATAAGACAGCGTGCGCAAACGTACCGTAGTAAAAACGAGACTGCTGCAAAACCAAAACATCATACCACCGTGACCAAACACGTAAAAATCACGGCTGGGAATATGAAATGTATCATCTGGCAAAACTAATTCCAATGTGCCTTGAGTGATCGTAAATGCCAGCGCTATAAATGATGTAGCGAGCAATACTCTACGAATACTGGAACGGCTGTCCAAGTGGCCTGAGTGGGAACAAAGTAAAAATCGCATGTTAGCAAATACTGTGTGCATTATTTTTTCCTCCTCGACACCGAGTATGTTACTTACCAAATGCTAGACCAAATATAACTACACTCATCTCGGTGGATAGTAGAAAAAATCTCACTGTGACCCATAAAACTTTGTCGGCTTTACCACCGACCGTCGCTGCTGCGCTTACCGACATTGATACAATACAGCGTATCACTGATATAACTACGTTACAAATAACGAGACCATAGAATGCTAAAAATATCGGACTACTCGTTGCACGTAACTTAAGCCTTGCTCTGTTGAATCGCATTGCAATGAATAGAAGAAACAAGAGATTTGGTATTAGAATGATGACATCCCATATTCGTACTCTGAAAGATAAACGTAAAATGAAATTTGTCGAAGTCGATTGTATCATCTTATCATATAAGTTATAATATACCTTGAATCTTTGATTTCCTTATATAGGATGAGTTTACAGAAATGCTCCTCGTCGTCAATTGCTGTACTTATATTGGGAATCATAGTACTGCTCAGATCATATATATGTAACCAACTTTCAGACACTTCTTCCCTCTCGGGGACGTACATTTCCTATTTTCTCGAGTGTTATGTCAGATTCTCCTCCTATATTTTCACTGATGGAAAACAATTCGCAAAATGAAATGTCAAAACAATATAATCACAGTGTATGCAACTTGACTATTAAACCCGAAAAAATAATTGAACAACTGACGATTCGTTGAGATTCGCAGTTTCTAGAGATCTCACGTTATCTTAAACTTAAACAATCTTTAAGAGTTATGCTAGAATAGAGTACCACAAAACAAAACGATATCGCACAATAAACATAACCTAAAATATTTTCAGAATCACTGGCATCTTTTTAATATTTCGATTCGCGAAAGCGATGTGTGAGATAAACAGAGATCGAGATAGTGCTCGAATATCTAAACTTCCCTAACGAGGTACGAATTTTACGACCGACGTTACGAAAAAATCGATAAATAGCTGCCTATTGTGCATCTGTCAAACGCTCGCATAACACAACGTCCAGTCTCGAACAACCGACTTAGCTAATTGGATAAGACCGTTAATCGGTTTACCGAGCATGAAGACGCCGCTCTCATTTTTTCCTGGGAAACGTCGCGCTTTTTTCAGCCAGCCGTGACAAACACTCGATGCGTGACAAACGCGTACGTTGCAATTCTGCTTTCCGACTTCCACAGAGTATCTACGCTCCTCTCCCCTTCTCTCTCACTCACGCTCGCTTCGCTTGTTGTCTCTTTTGCTCTCTCTCTCTTTCTCTATCGTATATTTCCTCACATTCATGCGCTTCAATTGACGTTTTGCTACGAGATTTCAATAATTCCAGTATCCATTCAACTCATCAGCGCTTTGCGCTCGTGCTTGCGATGTCCGATTAACTTTGGTATTAAATTCGCGTGAGCGAGTGCCAGAAAACGGAATACTTAATCACGAATATCGAGAGTTCGACGCGAAATCCGCGCGATTTCCACATCCCCGGTTAAATCCCACCTCGTAGAATCGCGCGACGCGAAAACGTAGCACCGTCCCGACGTGTTGACAGGTGACGCCACGATTCGCCCTCTTCCTCCTTGTGTAGATCTCTTTTCTGCGCTGCGCTAATTAATAAATACGATTATTTATTTCAGTTGGTTTAGCATGATAAACACTTGTTGTGGCTCTAGGAAAAAAAATTTTATTTTAGTTTGTTTAGAATCGAGGTTCTCTCTCTCTCATTGCGCGAACATGACGACATCCGAAAATGTTATAGTGGGTGCTTTCCATTTAGTGACTCAAGTCGACACAAGCATCATTCTTTCTTTGTTGTTCACTGGTATTGAAAGAAGATAGAATGATACTTGTGTCGACTTGAGTCACTAAATGGAAAGCATGGGGCGCCATCTTGCATGTGCTACGATACGGACGTGTTTTTGAGTGCTCTTGAAGTTTATTATAATCAGCCCATTTCTGGGCTACAGTTTGCGATATTTTTCATTTTATCAGAATTAATTGGCTCTTGTAGCGTGCTTCCTCCAGAAGCCCTTATTTTGGCGCCCAAAGAGAAATTTCATACGCTATTACTTTTATAAAAGTAAGTCGCAACAGGCGCCTTTGTCTCGACAAAGGCGGGTGGGCCTAGCGCTGTCGCGCCTTGCAGCTACGGATTAAAAAATCTTTCTGGATTATTCTACATTCTTCCTTCTCTTGTAAAATCCTTTCACTCTTCCAATATGAACTCCGGAGGATCCGACGACTTCCTTAAGGACTAATGTGAGTAGCCATGACTCAAATTTTTCTTCACATTCGGACGAGAATATTGTCATCCAAGACGATGACATCGATATGGAAGCTCTTAATAATCTCAAATCGGAAGCCGGTCTCTTACAATTAAATTCATCTAAAAATGTGCGAACATCATCAGATATTAAAAAAGGAAAAAGCCTGAAACGTGCAAAAACAGACCTAGCTCACAACCAGTCCACGAGTAAGGTCTTCAGTACTGAGACCCATTCTTCTCTTGATTCTGTTAATATTTCTACCTCAGGCTCAATTATTACTATATCGGAGAGCATATTGAAGAACAGATATTCCTCAGATAATCAAGGACCTTTTGACGTACACGTACAAAGGATTTCGAAGCCACACGCTCCTCTTCATCCAATATCAGTGGGAAGGATAATTGCCAGTCTTAACGTAAGTGACGTGATGGAAATCAGAAAGGTGGGATTTTCCAAAGTCTCAATCTTTTTAAAGACTCGTGAAGCGACTAATGATTTAGTCAATGACTCACGTCTAAAGAAGGAGGATCTGATAGCATTTATCCCCCATCTCGCACCTCTCGCAAAGGAATTATCAGGAATGTCCCTTTGGATCTCTCCGATGACTTGATATCTGAGAACACCAAAAGCCCTTTCAAGATTGTGTCGACCAAAAGACTTAACAGAAGAATACTGGACCCTGACCCTCGTGGAGGGGAAGAGGCTTCCGCTGTTAATTACACCCCCTCTTTTACAGTAGTGATTACTTTTGAGGGCCAAAAAATACCCAGAAACGTTTCTCTCTTTTATGTCAGTTACCCTGTCTCTCCCTACGTTACCAGAGTATCTCTATGCCCCTCCTGTTACAGGTTTGGGCATATAAAAGCATCATGCAGAAGCAAACCACGTTGTGTCCACTGTGGAGAGAAGGATCATTGTTTCGATAAAGAGCAGTGCCCCCATGCACATGACCACCCTAAATGTGTCAACTGCGGAGGTGGTCACAAAGCGGATTCACCATCATGCCCTGAGCTGTCAATTTAAAAGGAGATCAGACAATACGCGGCACACAGGAACATTTCGCTGCTTGACGCCAGGGAAATTGTAAGAGGTAACAGATCTCCACCACCTTACTCCCCTTCCTCGGATGAGTATCCTCTTCTCCCGCATTCCCCTGCTAGCTCTGAAAGCTTTTATTTATACAATGCATCTGGGTCTCCCTTATTGAACCACCCGCGTACAACCTATGCCAAAGCGGCTTCGGAATATTCTAATTCCTTGCATAATCGTTCTCCCCCAAATCTCCTCAACAAAGAAATGCGACATCCCCGTCGCTCGCCCCCCTCACCGGGCCCATCACCGGATTTATTTGTCGCTCCTAATGGGAGACCTCCTAGATCGCGAAATAAAATCGTATTCAGTGACACCTCGTCGTCCCAATCCAGTATTGGTAAAGATCACAATAGCAACGTTAATATTCAACAAAAAAATCTCTCTGCTAACGATCTGGTGAATACTATTGGCTCTCTTCTTATCCATCTTACTTCAGCTCTTGCTTCTCCTTCAGTGACGGAGGAAGTTCACAAGATAATAGACTCTATCCAAAGCTTACTGCTTAATCCGGACCAGAGGTCCCCTCACCATAATGACAACGATGACAATGACAAGTAATCCCGTTAGAGAGGGCATTAATATTTTCCAATGGAATTGCCATGGACTTAGGAATAAAAGGGACCTGTTACTTAATATTATCCAAGACTACGACGTTCTTGCACTTTCCGAAACCTGGCTTACCCCAGAACAAAATTTCAACTTTCACAATTTTTGTATAATTCGCTCTGACGGACCCTCCAATAGATCTGGGGGGGGGGGGGGGTCATCGCCGTCAAAGACTGGATACCATTTACTAAAATTGACTCTATTTACTCTATCCAAGGTCGACTTGAGTCGACTGCAATTAGGATCGAGACTCCTTCAGATCCTATTTATATCGTCTCGATATACCGTCACCCAGGTAACTTCGATTACTCTAACTGGGATAATTTTTTCTCTTCCATCCCTTCCGTTTCTCGTATTATCATCACGGGTGATTTTAACGCTCACCACAATATCTGGGGATGTGCGTCCCCTGATTCCGTCGGTAAAGCTCTCCTTGATTCTGCATTGGACCACACGCTCTATCCCTTAAATGATGGCACTTTTACGTACATATCCCGTCCAAATCAGACTCCTTTAGCGATCGATTTAACTTTTGCTTCCTCAGATCTATTCTCTTCATGTTCATGGACATCTCTCGATAATTCGCTAAACAGCGATCATATTCCAACGATTATTTCGCTGTCTAATCCTGTCAAATGTCGCTCTTTCTTTTCGCATAAACTCAACATCTCACGTATTAATTGGAAACAATTTACGCTCTCTTTATTAAACCAGCACCCCCAACTTCTCACTCAACTCAATCAGGATAGTATCTCACCCTTAGATAAATACGATTCTATTATAACTGTTGTCAAAAGTGCCATTCTTTCGCTCACTCCACCTCGAACATGCAATCGCAAGAAATTTACATCTCCTCCGGTCCTATGGTGGAACGAGGAGTGTTCTGAAGCAGTCGCAAAAAGGAAGCAGATTCTTAAACAATTTAGAAATCATGTCTGTCTTGACAATCTTATTCACCTTAAAAGACAGGAAGCTGTTTCTAGACGGGTTTTACGCTCTGCCAAACGCAGTGGTTGGAGAGAATACTGTGAATCTTTGGGGCCCTTCACACCCATCTCACAAGTCTGGAAAGTCATCAAGAGATTTAAGAACAGATTTCTCAATCCAATCTTACCCATTCCTCAGTCTAATTTCAGTATACCAACAGATATGCAGAATCAAATCAATTCTCTGTGTCCTTCCTCCTGCCTTTACGAACAGAAGATCCTTTCTGATACTAATTCTAACGACTATGCATGCAAATATTTTGACTCTCTATTTAAAGAAGAGGAACTCTTGTATATTATTCACTCTCTAAAAAAAAGATCTTCACCCGGCATCGACCAAATTGATTATCGTATTATCTCTCGTCTTCCTCACGAATATCACTTACTCTTACTTGCAACCTTCAATCAGATATTTTTTACGGGTTTCTTCCCCGATTCTTGGAGGCATTCTCTTGTTTTCTTTATTCCTAAATCTACTCCGGGAAAGTGTAGACCCATCTCCCTTACCTCTTGCTGCTTGAAACTGCTTGAGAAACTTATTCTGCTGAGACTGGATTGGTGGTTGGAACACAACCTCAAACTCCCTAACTCTCAATTTGGATTCAGGAAATTCAGATCCTGTCAGGATAATCTCTCCTCTTTGATCACAGAAGTTCATGGCGGCTTCTCCAAAGGAAATTCCACAGCCTGTTTGTTCTTGGATTTATCCAATGCATTCGACGACGTTATCCCGAGTATTTTAATGAATGATCTTGACGATATTGGCTTACCTCCTATCTTACGCCAATTCATTTATAACCTTATCAGTTTCAGAAAGATACAGTTCTGTATTAACGGAAAGCTTACCGACGAGTTTCATTCCTACAAAGGAGTCCCTCAGGGATCCATTCTTAGTCCGACACTATTTAATATTTATATCTCTAAACACAGATCTAGTATAGGCAGGACCTGCGAACTTATTCAATTCGCGGACGATATAGCAATTTTCCATACTTCCTCGCAAATACACGATTCCATCTCTAAAATTGAAACAGCCGCTAAACGTGCATGTGATTATCTCACAACTAAAGGCTTGACAGTTTCTCCCATCAAATCTTCACTCGTGGTTTTCACGAGAAAACGTGTGGATCCACTCTCATGCTCTATAAAAATCTTAAATAATCACATATCATCGACTTACTCGTGCAGATTCCTGGGCATACATCTTGACTGTCGTCTTTCGGGAAGGGAACACTCGAGGTTCCTGTTGGGGAGATGCTCTAAACTGATAAACATCCTAAGTATGCTGAGAGGTACCTGGTGGGGAGCTTCCCCTCAGCTCTTGCTTAACATTTACAGAGCGTTGATTAGGAGCTCTATGGAGTATGGATGTTCTATTTTCCCTCTTAACAATCGCTCAATTTTGCATCAGTTGGAGAAAATACAGTTTAGAGCCCTGAGGCTTTGCACGGGCTTACGTAGAACCACTCCTATTAACGTCCTGTTGGCTGAGTCTGGGGAAAGCTCATTAAAGTACAGGTTCTTCTATCTCACGTCTAGATATATTTTAAAGATTTTCAGTCTGGATGACCATCCCACCATAGAGAAACTCTATCATTTGCATTGGTGCGCTCGAAACTCGCGCAAAAAGAATCCAGCTAACTACTTTCTATTATACAAATCCTTCTGTGTCTATTTGAAATACAAAAGATACATAGCATGCTCCATCTACCCCTCTGTTTATTCCATTGATTATTGGGCTCATGTCATCTCCCCTTCTATTAGGATTACATCCACACTGGATGTAGAAAGTATTAAAAATAACCCTGTTCCTACAATACTTTTCTTCGATATTTATCACGATCTTCTTCAGGATCATATACCTTTCTATACTGATGCTAAGGTGGACGAAATCAGCCACGTAGGATTTGCCACTTATTCTCCTACCCTTAACCTCCAATTGCTTTTCAGAACCCACTCCTTCGCTTCTATATTTTCGGCGGAAGCTTATGCTATCCTTCAAACTTTGACTTATATCCTGGACAACTCCATCCCAAGATCTGTTATCTTTACTGACTCTCTCGGTGTGACACAAGCCCTGTCCTCGTTTAATTTTGGCCATTCCTACAGCCATATTATACATGCTATAAGAAGTAAAATACACGTTGCATATTCTATGGGCTTTCAAGTTGTAATAGTCTGGATACCATCACATTCTGGAATTTTGGGGGACGAGACGGCCGACCTTCTGGCTAAGAACGCAATTACTAAGGGCACATGGTATACTGGTCTGCTTCCATACTCCGACTTCTTCTTAGTGGTAAGGAAGAACCTCATTGCTGATATGACCGACCTCCTCAAAAAACAGGCAAGATATAAGGGGATTAATTACTTTCGATCTTTTGACGAATTCCGCCCGAGACCTTGGTTCTACGAGATGGAGAATTTCAATCGCGAAAGCATCACTACCTGCTGTAGGATAAGAAGCGGACATTACGCACTCAATAGCAGCTTATACCGCTGCAATCTGGTACCTCAATCTAGCTGTCCTTGCGGAGCCCTCACTCAGGATATAAACCATATACTCTGGTCATGTCCTCTTTTAAATACTAACAGACACTCTTTGATAAGAGCGCTCAACCAATTGGACATTTTTCCTCCAATGGATGCTGCAGAACTGTTGGCGGAGCCATCCTCCGGAGTGGTCCTTGCCATCTACTCCTTTCTCAAATCTTGTAAGATTCAAATCTGACTCCTCGAACTACCTTGTTCCTTCCTTTTGGGGTTTTTATACATTTCTAACCAACCAATCTACGAGCAGGAGTTTCACCCTTTCTTACTTACAATTGATCTTTTAAGATCTGCATTACTTCCAACCAACCAGTTGATGGCCGTGTGACAAGTATTCGTCGGAGCCAACTCCCACACGAAGAAGAAGAAGAAGAAG